ATGAGGCAGGGAATCAATTGGAACTGGGTTTTAAAATGGGCTGGGAGCACCCACGTATGGCCCAGACTTAGAGCTGTGCAGGGAGAAGGGTCTGTCTTGGTGCCTTTGGAATAGACCAGCTCAGGGCTGCACACAAGTGGCTCCCAGGACAATACCCAGCCAAGACACCAAGGCTGTGAATGAACCTCTGCTAAGGCCCTCTGGCTCTGACTGAGGGAGCTAGCTCTGGGAGGCTGAGTTTGCATCCTGCCATGCAGCAGTCAGGTCACCATTATTCATAACCTCTTATCCTGCAAAATCCGGTTTTCCTCTACTGATCAATCTTGAGTAGGAGGCTGTCTCTGCCTTGCGATGTCTTCATTCTACTGTCTGACCAACCTCCTCCCGCAACTATTTTGAACTCTGAAGAAGGTGGAGGTTAGACTTCGTGGTGGCAGTTTCAGACGGACTGCTGGTGACCTCAGAGTCAGGGCTTCCTCACCCCTGAGCAACCTCAGGCCATTTTATTTGTGCAGAAAATCATCATCCTTCTTCAAGTTTCTTTTCAAGCCACTATTTTTTGCAAATAGGTTGCACTCATATAATGAAAATTCTAACAGAAAAAGGAAGAACCACATCTCTTAAATGTTTTCTGTGTTATGGATATTTCCTGTCCTCTCTATAAACTAGAAATTTTAAATCAGTCCCTTTAGCAATTCTATCAAGCCAGTATCTCTGCTCCCATTCTACAGGTGAGGAACTGGGGACTTGGAGATGACAGGACCCAATTAGAAAGTGGTGGGTCAGGAATGTAATACAGAGCTATTTTCTCCCAAATCCTCAAACTTTCAGCAATGCCACAAGTTTTGTGGGGCTTTTGTTCCCTGTTCATCCTTAGTCAACAAGGCTGAGCAGTTTAAGCTTGCCCTGCCTGCCTCCTTTTCTCCTAGAACAGAGAGGTGAAATTGACAGTGGCCGCCACTGCATCCAGCTATGTCAAGTGTCCAGTTCCCATGCTGGCCACAGAAGCTTCTGCAGGAAAATCTCTTCAGCCCTCCATGTCCACTCCAGAATGTAGCAGCCCAGATAAACCAAGGCAGGAGAAGGCACAACCTCAGCCTGCCTGCTGGTCTGTAGGGCGAGGAGGTCTTTTGTGCAGAATACCCAGAGGCCGTGCTGGATGAGCGATCCTGCTCCAGGTCAAGTTTGCTGCAGACCTGGAAGACCTCCCAGAAGTGAATCCCACACATATGGAATAGTTATCTCGGTCCTACTACAGAGGAGGAATTCTTGGAGCAGTAACTGAAGTGCAGAAATCTTCATTCTGTATTTGAGTCAGATGAACCAGTTGTCCTGTGGGAACTGGAAGATACACAGGTGGCTTCCTCTGGTGGAACCCAGTTAGTGCAAAAAGGAGTTCTGTAAGAGCTAAGGCAAAAAGTTCCAGGAACTCTTTTCATTTTCCAAAGGGCCCTCCCCTTTCCACACCAGCCCCCTGCCCTCTCCCCATCCTAGCTAGAGATTAAGGGGTCTTCCCATGGCCTGGACTATGGATTCTTCTCTCTCCTCCCCTCCTTCCAACATCCCAATGTCTGAGCCTTGTGACCCAGACTGCCAGGCCAGCCAGCCAGGCAGTAAAAGGAGATTGATGCCCTCTCCTCCTAGGAAAATCCATCACTTTTTGGCATGTAGGTCAGATGGCTTCACCAGAGGCTTCTTTGCGCAAGCTAAAAATAAACACAGCCGGGACCCAAATAGACATGTGGACGTCAGAAATGAAATGGTTTACTCCAGCCACTCCCCAGGGCCCAGTAGAGTCCCTTCCTCCCACACTCTGCCTGGTCCACACCCTCCTCCCTAGAGTTTGGCCTCCAGTGGGGAGCCTCTGCCCTTCCCTTGGGAAGATGCTGTAATAAGGTTCTGGGATGAGCAGAACAATAGAAAATTTCCAGGAGTGGAGAAGGCAGAATGTGGAGGCTTAAGCGTCTGGGGACAGGACCATTTTGGTGGTCATAAAGCAAGGAAAGATGGAGTGAAGGAAAGAACACAGGCTTTGGAGCCATACAAAAAATGAGTCCTTTCTTGGCCACTTTTAACTTTTAACCTTTTTAATTTGGAAGGCTACCCATTGCATTCATTTTCTCATGTGTGAAAGGCGTACAGAAACACTGGCAGTGAAGGGCATTGTGAGACTCAATCTTGGATACATTGTAAGAGTGGTAGTGGCTGGGATACAGCTCAATGATGCTGTGCCTGCCTCGCAAGCGCAAGGTACTGAGTTAGATCCCTGGTACCAAAACAGACAAACAAAAAGAGTGGATACACATCAATAATCCCCTGTGTTCAACCTCTTCCCAAGCAGGTTGAGAAAGAAGCTGCTCAGATGGTATCTTGGGGTCTACAGTCTCCTGGCGATAGGGCGTTGTCTGCATGGAAGTGATGTATGGTTGATGTACGGTATGTGTTGGGCCCCAAGTCAGCCTTTCTCTGACAGTGTCCCTAGTTACCTTGTGCCACTTCTTGTCTCCATGGCCAGGAATAAGTTCTCTTCTTGAGAACTCAGAGTGGAATAGAGTCTGTTTATATTTCTCTTGTTTTCTTCTGCCCTTTCTCAGAACTCACTACCCCTCCCATGGTCAAGCACAGGGATTGATCTCAAAATCTCTTCCCCTTGCAGACAGCTGGTATGATCCAAGGTGTTTGTATTCTGAGCCACTGGAGATTCCTTGTCTCTGACAAAGATCCATTTGCACATTTGGGGAGGATGCTTTGATCCATGGGAGGCTCCTGCCCAGCCTTTCTCCTGAACTTAAGAAGAGCAAGAGTTCCCCATTGTTTCCTGTAATGTGGTGACCTGTTCCCTGCTACATTCAAAGCCATGGCTGCCCAAGCTTCCACCACCGGCTGCAAGGGCTCTGCAGCAGCTGCCAGGCTCAGAACTCTCAAGATGTGGAAGGAGGGTTGGGAAATCTCTCCCTGGATGTGCTCACCCTTGTCTCTGGATCATTCAGGGACTATGATTCTTGCTGCCCGGGGAAGGAGAGGAGAAGGAAGGGTTCCAGTTCTTCTGACTCAGGCATAGTGGTTGAAAAACAGCCTCACTTTTTATGGAGCTCCCTTCTTTCTCACTTTACACTCACGGTGCCTGCGAGTGAGAAGCTCTGAGGGAAACTCCTGGGGTCACTCAGCCCAGAGTTAGACTTAGGGACTAAGGAAAGTGCATAATGTTGCTTTGCTTTGGTGGGGACATCTCCAGAGCACCTATGAAGGCCAGAGAAGCATGATCTCTGTTGGGCTTGGGACCAAACAGCTGCAATCAGCAGCCCCAACTCCACTCCCAGGCTCTGTCAGAATGCTCACTTTGCAAGAACCTGTGTGTCACCACTAGTCACCTGGGAATGATCAAGCACTGATGAGCAGATGGCCTCCCAGGAGAGGTCCTGACCTCCCATTTTCTCTCAGTGGGAGACTCTTTAGCTTTCTGCTTCAAGGCTAGCAAATCCCATGCTTTAGAGGCTGGGAAACAGAGACAGAGGCTGTGAAGAAGGGAACCTATTTTTAATCCCCTTCTTGTAAAGACCGGGGCATGGCTCCACAGTATGTGGCAACCTCTTTGGGGCCCTGGAGCCAGTGAGGAGCTTCCCCAGCAGCTGTTGGTCTACAGATCTTCCTTGCTAGGAAAGAGAAGAATAGAATGGTCTGCCAATGTGTTCTCCCACAAATCCTTGTAGGGGAGATCATCCAGATACCTGAGGGCGGGTATCAAGAACTCTGATAGGAAAAAGCAGCGTTTTTTGCAGTCTATTTGGAAAGAATCCCCAGATACACCAAGATACTAACCAAGAGCCTTCCAGCCATGCTCCTCGGTCCCTGTCATATGGCTGCCCACCCATGGGGTCAGTCTATCACGGTCCTCCACCTTCAGCTTTTGTTCTCCAACAAGGTCATTTGAGACAGTCCTCTCTCCTGGCTCTGCAAAGCTCTTCATAACATTCATACAGGTATTTAATGGGTTTCTGCCTGTTGAACAATTAATGCAAAGGTCAGTGAGTAATCTCTAGCTGCCCCTTTCATCACCAGTCCCCACTGCTTGTATGATTCCTTGGTAGCATTCTTTCCAAAGGGGTGGGGGGGCTGAGGTCACAGCTCTGCTTTCTCCTGCCAGATAGACTTTAATTAGGTTGCTAAATTAGTGGAGGCAGCGGCAGCCCTTCTCTTTGCACAGACTCTCACACCGGGACTGTCTCTGAACTTGCCATTTGCGTTTTCAGTGAAAGAGGAGGTATTGGCTGAGTAGAGGTTTTCCCTGAAATAATGTTTAGCTGCCAATAGTAGTTTCTATCACAAACCAAGTGCTGTGTTGGGGTTGCTATGGCCATTATATTAGGACAAGAAGAGAGGGAGAGAAAGCGGGGGGGAGAGAGGGCGAGAGAGAGACTGCTGCTTCTCCCATTTTACAGATGAGTAAATTGAGGTTCTGAGGTTGTATAACTTTCCAAATTTAAAAGGAAATTAGAAAGGGGATAGAGTTGGGATTCAAATCCATTTCTCAGCTACATCCTGGCAACTTTGCTGTTCGAAGTGCTACCAAGAGCACACTGAAATCGCCTGGAAATTTGTTGGAAAGGTAGTCTTTTAGACACTCTGGATTAGAATGTGAATTAGCAGATTACATTAGCAAGATCCCTAGGATTCACGTCAACCATAAGTGTGGGGACTACTGTAGCCTATCACTAACAGTTCTAGCTAATTTGTACCAGAGTCATGTGCATCAACTACTATCGACATTGTTTTCCCACTGATGAAGCTGTGGATTTGTGAGGTTAGGGGCTAGCCACGGGTAGAGCTGAGATTTGGTTCTGGGTCAGACCCTGAAGCCACAAAGTGAAGTCAGTTTCCGTGCTTTCACTGCGTGCTGTCTTGGCTTTCTCTGCAATGGACTTCCAAGCACCCAAGGTCCCCTACTGTCCTTGCAGGCACCTAGGGCTGACTCTTCTGCCTCCTTTCTGCTCCTCCTGCAGATGTTCAGCACATCAAGAGGAGGGACATCGTGCTGAAGCGAGAACTGGGCGAAGGAGCCTTTGGAAAGGTCTTCTTGGCTGAGTGTTACAACCTCAGCCCAACCAAGGACAAGATGCTCGTGGCAGTGAAGGTAAATCCCGGAGCATGTGGGCACCAGGGAGAGGAAAGGTTGAGGTCTGGGATGCAGAGGTGAAGCTCACCCATTCTCCATCCAAGAAAATGGTGCTAAATCAGCTTTCTCAGATTCAGGCAGGGCACCTTACTCGCTCCAAGGTCAGTGAAATTTCTAATGGACCAAAACCAACTTCCTTTGGTGTTGGAGGTCAGGGGTTGTGGAAATCTGTGCCTGGGCAATGCAGAGTGCTGGTGAAAGCCCTGGTTTTGCTCCGGAGGCCTTGGGTCACCCTCCACAGTGCTCTGTCTGATGTTTTATCTCTGCACATTGTGAAAAATATCTGACCAGTTCACAGGGGCAGTGCTGGGTGATGGGAGGCCTGGGAGCCGCTGCCTGAGGGCACTGGGCATCAATTTAGTGCTGAATTGTCTAGGGCACCAGGCAAAGGACTTTGCTCCGGCTGATTGCCTCCTCCTCTTCTGGTCTAGCAGTGATGAGCTTCTCTTATAAACTGGTTCTAAACAGTTCTTTGACCATGGTTGACACAAACAAGAGGCCTCCTGGGATCCCCGTGCATCTCCAGAGGTCTCTACTGGAGTTGTGAACACAAGTGACGTCCCTGGATGGAGCTGGAAGGCTTCTGAGCCCATCCTGGAATCTACATGCTATTCTGGGATGTGGGCTGGCCACTGGGCCACCTGTGAGGAGTCTCTCTTGGGCCTCAAAAGGGTCTCATCCTTAGCACCATGGCATCTGAAGGAATGGAGAAGGCAGTTTCATGAAGCAAAGATAGTTATTACCCATTTATGAGGCAATACTTAGTTGTTCCTTTTCTGGAACAGAGGTCAGCGATCTATATCTGTTTTTGTAAAATATTTGTTGGAAAGCAACCATCCTTGCTGGTTAATGTATTGCTTATGCTGCTTTCCCACAACATGGGCAGGGTTGAGTAGTCACAAAGAGTTTTGTGCTTTTGGGTCATGCGGTGGATGAAGGCAGAGACTTGCAGGGCACTGGCCTAGCAGGGGAATCAGAGAGCATGAGTGCAAATCCCAGCTTCATCAATGGTTAGCTGTGTGACCTTGGGCATTTACCCTCTTTGGGCTTCAGTTTACTAATCTGTATAATAAGAATTATAATATCTCTTCCTTAGAATGCTGATGATTAAATTACATAATGGTTGTAAAATTCTTAGTGCCTGGGACATAGAAAATGCTCAAGAAAGAGCAGCTGCTATTTGTTGTTATCATCATCATTATTATTACTAATGGTGATAGGACTGAAAGTGGTTAGACCATGACACACAGCATGCTAAGCTTGAGCTGACTGTGCAACATAGGGCTCATCAAGCTTTTTCTCCAAAGGGCCAGAAATATCTAGGTTTTGAGGATCATACACTGTCTGTTGCAACTACTCAATTTTGTTCATATTGTGGGGAAGAAGCACAAACAATATTAGCTAATAAATCAGCTGCTTTCCAATAGCACTTTTTATGAAACAAGTGTAGATTGCTGAACTCTTCTTCAGAAAATAAAGAAAAGCTGGAGTATTGCCCCATAAAGGGCCAGTGCTTACCCTTGATGCAATCCTATGAATGAGCTTGTTCTTTGTGTCTCCAGTGACATGGGGTAGTCAGAGGAGCAAAGGTGTTTTTAAACAGCTTGGACTGGGGATGTGGAAATGTTTCTAATTTTGTCTGTAAACTGAGAATCAGCTGTATCCCTGCACTTTTAATGTGTAGGATGACACGAATCTACTGGGTGTTCCAGCATCCGTCTGGGGACTGGCAAGTGAACCAGTTTTGCAATTTGAGCAGGAAATTAGATGATGGCCGAAACCCCGGTAAACATTCCCCTCAGTGGTCTGGCACTGGTGGCGCTACCCAGACTGGGTAATGCAAAAAATCTGTTCTGTTTGCATCCTTTGAAAAGGATTTCCTTCTCTCCTTGGGCTTGGGAACTTTGAAGAGATGAGCACTTTGGGAATTCATACCATTTGCTACACACTGAATCCGCCCAGTGAGCAGCCCTGAAAGTTCCTACCACCTCCAGAGAAAGCAGCAGAAGTTACCTTTTCTGCGCCCTGTCCTTTTCAAAGCTTTCTTCTTTTTGCAGGTCCCTTCTTCTTGCCCAATATTTGATACTTCTGGAGAACACTTGAAAGTATAATCCAAGATTAGATTTTTCTCAAAATTATGATTTTAAATCAATTTGCAGGAATATTTCTGCCCAGCAGATGCTCTCTATGGTGGAAACCAAGGAGTAGAATCATAGGCTGTCTTTTTAAAGCACTGTGACCTTCTGGGAAGCCAAAGTGAATATCTTGTGAAAGAAATGGGGAGCAGGACAAAACAGAGCATAATTTATGTATATGTGGGTAGTGTGAGCATGACATTAAAATACAGATGCCCTTTGACTTACAATGGGGCTATGTGCTGGTAAATCTATTGTTGGAAAGATTCTTAAGTCAAAAATCCACTGAATCCACCTAACCTACTGAACATCTAGCTTAGCCACATGGTGCACTGAGAGCATTGCTGTTTGGCCTGTGATTGTGTGGCTGCCTGGGAATGGTGGCTCTCTGCTGCTACTCCTCTGGATCACTAGTGAGTTCCTGGTCGCATTTGCTAATCCAGGACAAGATCAAAATTCAGTGTAAGGCATCTTCTCAATGCTCATCCTTCCAGCCATTGTAAAGTTGAAAAATTATAAGTAGAACCATTGTAAGTCGGGCACTGCCTGTAATGAAATTTTTTGAATTGCTGATGTCAGTTTTAAATAATCATTGAACTAGCAATACCTTACATTCTCAAGCCCAGGTGAACCCCTTCCTTTCCAAGTAAGGGAATGAGACCTTCCTCGCTGCTTTTCGTATTTTCCTTCTCTGTCTTTCTTTGTTCAGTCTGGGGTGAACCTCAGCACTTTTCTATCAAGTGTTCTTCTTGTGGTATTATTTGGCCTAGAGTGTTTTCTGTCTATGGAGGTTTTTGTTTTGACTTTGATGACCGCATAGTTTATTTCCAGGATATCTAATTGGTCTATAATTTTTATCTTAATTTTATTTCTTCCTGTTCTTACTACATACTTTCTTATTTTTAAAAAGTAATTATTTCTTCATTCCCTTGGTGCGTTTACTTATTTAAAAATCTTTATGAGCTCATTTGTCTCAAATGTATTGATCTGTAGGATATTCACGTTCTGGTTATTGACAATTTTAATCACTTGGATTTAGCTTACATTTCTTCCAATAAGTTAGAATTTCAGCTTTTGGGTTTTGGAGGGTTGTTTTGTTTTTGTTTGTAGTGCTTATGATTTCCAGTTATAGATTTTTGTTGTTTGTTTGCTGGGGATTGAACCCAGTGTCTTTGTACTGAGCTACATCTTCAGCCCTTTTTTTATTTTTCATTTTGAGATAGGGTCTCATTAAGTCCCTAAGTTGCTTAGGCTAAGCTAAAACTTGTGATCTTCCTGCCTCAGACCCCCAGAGTGCTGGGATTACAGGAATACGTCACCATGTCTGGGCTAGTTGGTTACTTTAAATTGGAGCAGAAACTTAAAACATTTGTAAAACAATCTGAGGACAGAATCTCAGATTTTTACTATTTTCTCAAATTTTAATGTGTTTTTTTCTCCCGTGCTTAGCAATGTTTTAATGATCTTTAACAGGTCTTCCCAAAGCATTCATCCTAGGGTCCCTAAAAACTTCCCACTCTTGACTTACATACCACTGGTTTCTATAACGTTTCAAGTGATTACATTAACAGCTTTAACTGTCATGAATGAATCTGGGGACAATGAGAGCCAACACTTGGTAAGCCCATGTCTGGGGCAGAAGTGTCTCTCTGGTATGTAACTAGCAGGCAGTGGCCAGGGTCTCTTCCGCTGGTCCATATGTTCTGCAGAGGTAATGAATGGTGCTTGCTCACCTGTAGGTATAGTTGAGGGGGGCTTTTCTGACTAAAAGAACAGCAAGTGCAAAGGCCCTGAGAAAGATAAAAGCTTAGAGTGTGCAAAAGACAGGAACATTAGGGAGATTGAAATGTAATGGATAAGGGGGAAAGGCATGAAAAGAGATATGGAGACCAGACATTTAGCCTGTGTTAAGGAGTTTGGATTTTACCTTAAAAAAATAGGAAGTCAATGACCAATTTTAAAACCCAGGAGGACAAATGAGAAAGGGGCCCTCTCTGTGTGACAACTATCCATCTTTCTTCCTGTAGATTTGTTTTCAGATCTCACAGAGGGGAAGGGACAGTGGCTTTTGAGAAACTAAAAGAAAATTGGTTTTCATAATTAAAAGGGCTTGACTGGTTGTGTGTGTGTGAATCTCTGGGAGTTTGATCACCTGGGAACATGCACCAGTCTGTGTATTTAATGAAATGGGTTTCAGGGCAGTAATGAAATCTGAAGCTGAACAGCTCTTGGGATATCTTCCCCCAACAAGAGAAAAGAGCAGAAGGCAGCAGACTCCTTGGGCTGGACTGGAGGAAGTGCTGAGCTTTCTTGGGAGCAGCTGGACTGCTGAGCAGTGGCGCTGTTGCTGTCCAGTCTGCTTCCTGGAGCAAGTGCGGAGATCTGAGGCATCCGGAGGGAAAGACCAGAAGGGAAATGTCCTCAAGCTTTGCAGGAAAGAGGAAGACAAGGAAGGCAAATTCCAGCTCTCCTCTTCGCTTACACATACGGCTCAGGAGCTTCCCTGGCTTCAGAGACTCCTTGGGAAGACCCTGTCCCTCCGCCACCAGTTGGTGGCTCTGATGAACACCAGTTCTGTCCCAGGCCACTGACTGATGACCCACTTTGCAGTTTCTCAGCAGTGAAGAAAGTTTTGGCTGCAGATGGTTGCCCTTGTGAGGGGCAAGAGAATCTTTGGCCCAATTCTTCTCATTACTCTCCTGTCACCTCTGGCCTAATCGCGCCAATCCCTGGAGATGGCAGCCACTTGCAGCTTGGAACGCCACTGGCTGCACCCCGCATTTTGACGGTGACATAAGAACTTCAGGCCTAACCCACCAGGTGGAAAACTGGGTGTGCAGGCAGAGAAGGGGTGCAGAAGACCAAGAGAGACAGAGTTGCTTTGTGCTCCATCTCTCAAAGAAGGACCTCAAGTTGGCCTTGTAGTGCAGGTTGCCAGCCTGGGGACACTGGCTGAGGCTGCTCCAGAGCTGAGAACGGAAATATCCCATGGCTGCCCCTGCTGCCCAGGCTGTGGGAGAGAATGATTTAAAGAGATGGAGAGAGGCCATTTGGCTGGCCCCAAATTTGATCTAATTTTCCCTCTCATAAATCCAGTGTTCACATAAATCTTTATATTTTCCCATCCCACCCATGCTGGGTGCTTTTTTTTTTTCCTTCCTTCTTCATGAAAATAAATAAATCACTCTCAGTCATCCTATACCCATGCCCCAGTCCACGTAGCTCAGGGGAGTGGCTAGGAACTGGGTCACTGTGAAGGGCCGTCTCTCACCACAAGTCTCTGGCTTGCATGTCTTTGTGCTGATTGTAGGTGGACACAGCAGCTATTCCTTTATTCATAGGTATCCTCCCCAAGTTGAAGTGGAGAGTATGTAGAATTCAGTTTGATAGGAATCACCAGTGGGCTGGTAAAATTTTGCTCCCACTTTAATTCTCCCCTTTGTCTACCCTACAGGCCTGGCCCCCTTGCTGGGCCCAGTTGCTCTGCTGGTAGCCCATATCGACACCTTTTCCCTACCCTCTCCCCTACACTTCCACATCTTTTCATTCCTCTCCCCATCATTCCCTGGGGGATCTGTCTAGTGACTAGTTCATCTAATAAATTAATTCAGGTGGGTATATTGGGCAGGAAATTATCCTCAGCTCCTTACCCAAGCTGTTGCATTGTTGCGTGGTCTTTGGCAAGCCTCTTCCCCATTTAAGGGCCTTAGTTTTCTTATCTATAAAATGGAAAAGTTATGCTAGAATAACATTCAACTTTATTGTCACTGGTCATACCATTTATTTAAACACTTTTTGGTGAAACCTTCCAAATTTTAACAAAGGAAGACGTTGCTGGTTGACACTTGGGTGGGGCTTGATCTCTGACCAAGAGAGCATAGCCCCTTGGATGGCCCTAGCAGAAGGACCTTGGCACACTGTGAAGCTCACCAGGGGACCACCCGTTTAGTTCCTCTGACTTTCTGTAAGTTAAGGTATGTAAATGTGGGCTGATTCCCAAAGAGGCCTGGCCTCAGTTTCTCCAACTCCACAAAGGAACAGAGAAGAAGGAGTAGGTAACATCTAGAGCCCTTCCTGTGCTAAAAGTCCACCCTCTGTAGTGTTTGCCAGTGACTAAGGTCTCATGCACCTAGATTCACAGTATCGCAGGGCTGGAATCCAGAGGAGCCTGCAGATTTCGATCATGGAGCTGCAGTAGGATGAGAAACCTCTTGGGCTAGGGAGGCTTTCCAGCACTTGCATGGTCTACAGGGAGGTCAGTCAGCCTCAATAACCAGAAAAGGCCACATGCCTACCAGAGAAAAGGCAGACCAATCTCCATATTGTCTAGATTTTTCCCTACCTGACAGTGGTTAATTTTTTGGTGTAATTTTACACTCATTTGCTTATTGTCTGGTTTTGTGCCTGCTGAGGTCTCTAAGCTGTGTGAGAGGCTCCTTCCCGGGCAGAGAGCCCCAGTCTCTGCACAGATCATAGTCCATTCTTGCCAGCACTGCTCATCCCTACGGTGGTGCCCTGTCCACAGTCCTACGGATGCACTCAGAGTCTTCAGTTTCGGTCCCATGTCCCTCTCTGGTTGTTCAAAATCCACATTGGGAGCTTACACTTTTCCTGGGTGTGTTATTCTTCCTGGACCAGGAAGTAGCTTGGTCTGCACTTCTCCCTCACATGGGGTCTCCCACTCCTAAAGGGCTGAGTTGTAACCTCTTGGTGGCCACAAGATGCCCACTGCCTCATCCTGCACTGGAACTTTGTGGTCCTCTACCTATTCCTGGTGCATCTATCTGTTAACTGCCATTATCACAGCTACCGGTACCCCACTTACCCCAGTGCTTCGTACACTTAAACCTTCGGTAGGAGAACACCACGCCTTCTAGAAGCCAAGTTCCTCACTCTCCTCTGCAAGTATTGACTTCTTCACCATTGAAAGTCAAGGGCTTGAGAGGACAAGGAGGCTTTGCTACATTGCCTACCTGATTTCTGGTAGGCTATGGGTGTGTGCTAATTTACAAAGGTAAAGCCATTGGAGCATTGGTGTTTACACCAGTGTAGACTGGAGTTTACTGGTGTTTAGCAGTGGGACCATTTCTTTAAAGGAAACCTTAGAGCAGAGGCTCTATCAGGCCTTCCATTCCTGCCTTTGTCTCCTCTCACTCACACTCACTCCAGAGGAAACCTGGGGCTCTGAGATGCACAGAGTTTGAGTTAGGATTCTGGAGCAATGGGATGGGCACAGTTTGAAATTATTGGCCAGTGTGTGTGTGATGTGGGTGTCGGAAAGTGAATTTTTTCTACTAGAATCAAAATGGTGAAGGAGGAAGGGGCGAGGCTTGCAATATGCTTTAGCTTCACTGTCTCTAAGTTTGTTCCAAATCTTATTTATTGGGAACTCAGCAGCATATGGGTGGCTGGTTTCACCAGGAGAGAAGACAGCTTTCTGCCCTCTGGTTGCTAAAAGTTGATGTCATGTTTTTCTTAGGCCCTGAAGGACCCCACCCTGGCTGCCCGGAAGGATTTCCAGAGGGAGGCCGAGCTGCTTACCAACTTGCAACATGAGCACATTGTCAAGTTCTATGGTGTGTGTGGTGATGGAGACCCCCTCATCATGGTCTTTGAGTACATGAAGCATGGAGACCTGAACAAGTTCCTCAGGTGAGCCAGGGATGCTTTCCTTCTCCTCCATCCTCAACCCCAGGTCCACCTAGCCCCTGGGTTTTCTCTGAAGTCATACATTTCCCTGTGTACTCTCAAGTTTGAGAATGAGATACACAAAGCACCCTTTCTTATCTATCATCACTGTAGCAACTGGATGCAGGCCTTTGTCCTTAGAATAAGAAACCTATACCCTTCTTCCTGGTTCTGAGGTGGGCTGAGAAGAGTTTGGTCTGGAATGAGTTCTGGGAGACTCTTGAGAGCTCTCCAGCCTGTGCCTTCCAACTCCAAAATTCCAGGGCCATTCTTCTCCAGCGTTGCAGATAGCGTCCCCTTCGTCCCTTAAATGTCTCACTTGCAAAGTGAGGCTAGTAGCTTGCAGCCTTCCTGGTAATCTTCTTGCCAAAGACTTTTTGGTGATGAACAGTAAGGTACAAGCTTACAAACTTATCAGAAGGGAGAGATAGTTGAAAAAAAAGGAGCAGGACTTCCATGGGTAAATTCTACAACTGTGTTATCCAGTATAACACAGTATATATATCCAGTAGCCACATATGGTTATTTGAACATAGATTTACATTAATTAAAATTTAATAAAATTGGAAGTTTGTTTCCTTGGCCTCACTAGCCATATTTCAAGGACTGGGTAGCCATATGTGGCTAGTGACTCCCATACTAAGCAAAGAGTTGTCTAGATATTTCCATTATTAAAATGTTCTATATGGATAACTGTGTTCTAGAGAGCATCGGTTTGTTGTCTCCAACCCTGGAGAAAGATTATCTGAACTTTCAGAGGCTCAGGATAGAACTTTTAAAAGACTGGAACCCCAGTCAGAAGTTCTGGATGGAGTTTCAGGAGTGGATCTACTTTCTTCAGAGAAGACAGCTTCTCATCCTTAGGGCAGAATTAGGACTTCCTTGTGGAAGCCTTCCACAGCTGCTACAGCTGCTCCCCAAGAGTGTCCAGATGCAGGGTGGTTGTGCTTGAGGCACTATGAAATCCAGGGTTTCAAGAAGCAGGTTGAGGTGCAAAGAGGAGGGGGAAGTGGGAGGGGTAGGGGAAAAAACAGAAGAGAATGGAATTAATATGAGAAAAAGAAAAAAATGGAAACAAAGTCTTTGTAGATAGGGAGGGGTGGAGGTGTTGAAGGGAAGGCAGGGGAAGGGGGAAAAAATAAGAACCAAGAGAGATTATGTAAAGGTGCAAATTTCCAATGATGGATGTCATTATATTGTATACCTAAAATGTACCAATAAAATTAATTAAATCATCATCATCATCAACAACAACAACAAAAACAACAAAGAAGCAGGTTGAACACTCAAGCCTTGACTCTTTGGGTATGATCCCTGCTGCAAGACTAATTGAATCCTATTGAATTCAATGACTGAGAATGAGATTTCCAGTATGAGTTATGGAAGGCTCTAGACTAGTTGCTAAAAGCCAATGACCATCCCTTTCAAGTGGACCATTTGTGGTTTTGAGGAGAGAATGGAAAGAACTGATACCAAGTCATGGACTAGAGTAGTCTTTGGAACTCTGCTTATGAGCTGGATTTTGAAAAATTTGGTCCTGGAGGAATTGAAAGTACCTGTAAGATGTTCTATACCTCATGGAACTTGCATTTACAAGGAAATTGATTCCTTTCCTGGAGAGCTCAGACCTTAACAAAAAACAGATTGGGGTTCATATCCCAGTGGATTTGTTACATCTTAGTTACAACTAGGCCACATTATAAAACCTTCATTTTCTTTCTTAAGAAAAACAGCTATTAGTAACTGCTTCACAGAGTTGTTGCCATGTTTAGTGACTATACATGTATAATGCATGTAGGAAGGTATTCAGACAATGGTAGCTACCACAAAAGGTATTAATAATACAATTATTGCTATTTTATGAGAACTATGAACCATAGTAGCTTCTAATTCAGGAAATATTTTCTCAATACTCGGATCTCCCTGTCCCTATAATTCCATTCCTGAGGTCAGAGGGACATGTCCCAACTTCCACCACACCCTCTCCATAGAGCCAGCATTCTAGAGTACTATCAGCAGGGGCGAAGAGAGCTCCTGGTATTTCCCTATACCATGGGCACACCCAATAAAAGGAAGAGAAAGGAAAAGGAATATAAAGGAGAGAAAGAATGAGAAGTGAGAGTAAATGCAAGAGGTAGGAGAAGTAGAAAAGAAGAAAAAAGAAACAGTGGAGCAAAAAACAAAACAAAACAAAAAACAAACAAGAAAGGAACACAGAAGTTGAAGAGCCATATCTGCACCAGATAATGTATCTCCTGATTCTCTGGCAGATAGCGCAAGAAAGGCTTGCGCATGAGCACAGTTCTGCAAGGACTTCCTGACACTCTTACGACCTCTGTACCTCTCTTTGGAGTCCTTTCCTAAAGACAGCATGGACAAGTCTATCCAAATCAAGGCCCAGTGGTCTTCCTGGAACACTTTTCTTTTTTTGCTGTATAATCTGCTGGCCAGATTTCTAGTAGATGCTGTTGATCTGTCTTCCTAGGCTCTGCCAATCAAGGCAGAGTTTCTCCAGAACACCCTAGTGCAGGAAATTCTCAACAACAGGTCACACTAGCCCTTCTGGGACCTAGCTTCCTGGCTGCTTTTCTAAACACAGCCTCTGGGACCCCAGGCCAGCCCTGCCTGCCCCTAGCTCTCCAAGCTGGTAGTGTGTGGGGGCAGGCTGAACAAACTCTCCTGGTAGACAGGAGGGGTCTTGTCTGCTGATCCCCTCCCTTGCTAGTGGATGCAGCAGCTCTCCTTCCAATAGGGCAGTAGGCAGAGCCCACTGGAGATAATAAAATGAGTGTGCTCATATTTAATGGTGCCTTTCAGTGGAAATTGGAGAAGCAGTAAAACAGGCTGTGTGTACCAGGGCTCCTCAGCCCACTACTTCATAAATAAGGCCCCTGGGCGTGGTTATGGCTCATTGGGCTTTCTGGAGAAAAGAGTGAACACTAAAAGTGACTGATATGACAGGGCAGGGTGTTAGGATAACAAATCTGGCCCTTGATTTTGGATAGAAGGGGCTCCTCCATCCTTTCCTGCTACTGCTGTAAGTTACCCAGTCCTAAGAAATGTGATGGGATGGTTGGAAGTATGGACACAGGGTGTCCTACTGCTTACTTTGTGGATATGGACCACCCCTTCACAGCATCAGCACTGAGATGGGGTGGAAAAAGCAAATGATGAGCTCTGCCTACCCAATCAGAACTTAGGGAGTGGGGCCTGGGAATAAGCTTTAAACCCTCCTTGAGGCTTCTTTTGGAAGTTCACCTTTACACTGCAGGTGTGACTTTAAATTCTGTCTCCTGATTACCCCCGTAGCCATTTTGGGTCCTTGAGGATTTTTGGGTAAGTGGTTTTGTCATTTTGTACTTCAGCTTCTTTATTTCAAAATTGAGGTGGAAAGATTAAATAGGTATATTTAAAAACACCAAAACAGTGCTTGGCATACAGTAAGGGCTATGGGGGACTTAGTTTTTGTTTTATTAACTGTTCTATAATAAATATCTAGAACTTGGGAAACCTCTAGGTAGCAGTAAAATATTAAAGAAGAATAAGTTTATTCCCTGTTCCTTTTGAGTGTGTTTCCTGTCATCTTAGTTGGGATTCTGGTTGTAGAGTTCCACCTTTCCCCACACTCCCACAATGTAATTTTTGGTAAAGAGAAATAGGCCATACATAACATGGAAAGAGGAATTTCATTCATTTCTACGGGGCATCCAAGAGCACTGGGAACCAGAAAGCCTTTCTCCTTGATCTCCTGAATTCTCTCTGCTCCTTTTCTCTGCCCCATCTCCTCGCAGGGCCCATGGGCCAGATGCCATGATCCTTGTGGATGGGCAGCCACGCCAGGCCAAGGGCGAGCTAGGGCTCTCCCAAATGCTCCACATTGCCAGTCAGATCGCCTCGGGCATGGTATACCTGGCCTCCCAGCACTTTGTGCACCGGGACCTGGCCACCAGGAACTGCCTGGTCGGAGCCAACCTGCTGGTGAAGATTGGAGACTTTGGCATGTCCAGAGATGTCTACAGCACCGATTACTACCGGGTAAGATGACTTTCCCAGCTGCAGGACTCAGTGGCAGAGGTAGCAGCTTGCTTACATGTATTTGTCCTTGTCCATTATCCCTGTCACTATGGTGCATACATATATTCATGCTTGCCCAGACTCGTCAGTTATCCCTTGGCTGCACCTGCATCTCGACACACTTGTTTATTATTGTCTCAACAAGCCACCCCTCCTTTCCTTTGGACATTTGACTGGACTGCATCTGTACATTGCAATAACATATGCATTGTGTTCTTACATTGGTGTTCATTTTTCATGCAAACAGATTTGTGTATCTATATGTATATGCCCCAACACACACCCACACAAGTCCAACATGGTGCTGTATTTTGACATCTTCCTACCTAGTTCCTGATCCAACCTCATCCAGAACACATTTTATTCTCTGGAATTATTTTGTGACAATGTGAGGATAATCTTGTTTGTAAAGGTAGATATTAATGAAAAGTAGAGCCCAAAGTAAACTAGCAAAAATGGCGAATGCATTACCGAACAGAAAATCTTAAAGTCTTTGGAAAGATGAGTAAATAAAGCATTTTATAAGTTTCTAGCTTTGGAGACAGTATAGGTTAGATCTTAGAAAAAAATTTCTGATTGTGAGGGGAACTATCATATTCAGTTTTCCTTCAGACGGTTGTCTGCTTCATATTAATAGGATCTTATTTTGCTCCCAGGATCAGTTTTCCCTTAGTCTCTGGAAACTTCCCATGGATCACTAAGTGGCTTTGACTGTTGTTCTTGCCAGGGAAAGAGTGAGTGGTCACAAATGCCACTTTTCCCAGAAAGGGAAAATGTGGGTGCAACTTGAGACCCAGAGATGAGATAATGTCTGCAAACTGATGTGGAGGCAGATGCTTCTAAAACAGGGGTCCCCAAGCCCCAGGCCATGGACCAGTACTGGACTGTGGCCTGTCAGGAAGGGGGCAACATAGCAGGAAGAGAGTAGCAGTTGAGCAAGCAAAGCTTCATCTGTATTTGCAGCTGTTCCCCTTTGCTTACACCACTGCCTGAGCTCCGCCTCCTGTCAGATCAGCAGGGCATTAGATTCTCATAGGAGCATGAACCCTACTGTGAACTGTACATGTGAGGGATATCGGCTATGTGCTCCTTCAAATCAGTCTGAAATGATGTCTTCTCAACTCCACCTCCACCTCACCCTTGGGTCTATAGAAAAACTGTCTCCCATGAAACCTGTCTCTAGTGCCCAAAAGGTTCCATCTACAAGATGGAAGATTTACTTTGGGGATATCAACTGGGGAAGGAGTATTTTAAAGGTAGAGGGGTAGTGTAGTCTATTTGGGCTACCATAACAAAATTCCCTAAGCTGGGATGCTTACAACAAAAATTTTAAATTTTATTTCTCACTGTTCTGGAGCCTAAAAGTCCAAGATCAAGACTCTGACAGCTTCTGTGTCTAGTGAGGGCCTGCTTCCTAGTTCTTATGCGGTGTTCTTCTCACTGTGTCCTCACAGAAGAAAGCACAAAGGGTCTCTCTGATGCTTCTTTTAAAAGGACACTAATGCTGTTCATGAAAACTCCACCTTCATGATCAAGTCACCCTCCATGCCCTACCCTCTACCCTCAGTATGGCAGTCAGGTTTAACGTTTGAATTTGGGGGGAAACACAGATATTCAGTCTGTAGTAAGGGAAATGGCAGCCAATTGTCCGATTTTATTCATAGGGAATTAATGATTATATGTGATCCAAAGAGTCCAGATGTATTTGTCTTATTCAGCTGAGCTTGGGGGACAGGAGGCTAGGAACTGGGGATTGGCATAGGTAGGCAGAGCAGGTTATCTGCACGATCCTGATGGCTCTGCCTAAACAAGTTCATTCAGGCATTAAAACTGATCATTCAAGGAATTTCATTTTATCAGTGGGCCAGGGAAAAAGAGAATGTTTGAGAAATGCCTTTTACAGCTACAGAGTGGTTTGTTTATGGTACAGTGAAAAGATGGCAAATGATACACTGTCATGAGTATACATGAGGCAAAGCAGAGCAAAGGTGAAGAGAGTGGGATGTCCACAGCAGAGTGGGCAGCTTCTCTAGCCAAGAACAGGGAGCACAGTGTGGCAGGAGCCACAGACTGATGTCCAGTGCAGACCTTCCAGGAATTAATCAAAGTGGAGTCTTTCTTTAGCATCTAGAGCATATTTCCAGTTATTTCCAAGAGAGGCATTGGTGTGGTTACTAAGGGGGTCCATGGGTCATAGATTTCCTAGAGGCGAGCTGGAGCCAGCACCATTTGATTGCCTCTCCACTCTGTGTAATGGGGTTTGCTGGTTTGCCTGACTGAGCTCATATTTAGGGTGGCATTGATGAAAGTAAAGATCGGCTCACTGTTTTTTGGTTTTGCTTTCTTTTTGTCTGTGCTAGGGAGATATTTAATTATGCCAAAGTGATCTCTACCAGCTTCACCAGGGCCTTGGGAAACCATGTCTGACCTGAATGTGCAAACTGAGCCTTGAAACTGATTTCTTGACTTGCATTTAATGGTCCTTAGTCCTGGTTTAAAGAGAAAAGCCAAGTGAAGGGAAAGAGAAGTCCAAATGATACATTTTTACCCTGCCTTTAGTAGCTGTAAGCCGCTGCTCTTTATTTCTGGGAGAGAATCAAGGAGTAAACCCATCTAAATTGTGTAGCTACCAGAGCTGACTGAAGGAAGGTAAAGAAAATGGAGGATTTCTACACTCCAGGTACCTTCAATTCTTTCATCGTGAGTTATAAGCCAGGTTGTTAGGTGAGGCCAACTGGCTTCAAAATGTATGCCTCGGACTCCAAGGATGAGGAAAGAAAGGATAACAATTGCAGTAAAATCTCAGCATTTTGAGTATTCTGCTGCTGATGTATAACATATTCTCCTTCACATATAAATATAAACTGAAAAGAGCAGCTTATATCATATCTCTATGTTCAATTCCTCATAATGTCCTAATGTGGATGCAACTCCCCCTTTCCCACTCTTCTGTAAATTTCTTGTGCTCACAATTATGTACCCTGAAGTATTCTTGTCCATATTGGAAGACATTGGGAAGACAAGGGAATTCTTGGATGTGGGCATAATTTCACCTGCATTCACTTCCTGATGCTTGATCATTATTAGCTGACCTGTGACCTCTATGCCATTTCCCTAACCTCTATTCAATATTATTATTTTAAAAATGAGGACAAAAATATTTACTCAACAGAGTTTTATTGATGTTAAGCAAATTAATTTGCATAAAAAGTTGGTAATAACTACTTACAGGATAAGCTATGGGTTTTATTATCTTCCTCTCTGCTTTTTACCAACCCAAGACAAACAGCACTAAGGGATTCATCTTATTTCCAGACCCAATTCCTGGGTCAGAAAAAGGGACCTCCTGATCACTGTGAAAATACACTAGAACACACAGCTGGCCCAAAGGAGTAAGTCTTTAAGTTGAGCAACTCAGGATAATTTTCTTTCCCAGGTTTTGACTTACATAGAAATACTAGGTCATCAGTACTTGCTTCTTTTTCTGGTCAGTGTTTATATGGTCTCACTCTTGAGTCTTAGATCTAAGCTCCTATTTGATTGATTTATGCAAGACTTTGCTTAGTATACACTGGCTGAGGCCCTGAGAAACCCAGTGGTTTTTATCAGATGGAGAAAACACTGTGAAGGATTCTCTCTGCAGGCTGATACCCAGGGAACACTTTGCACCTCTCTGCTACTGTTGATTCCTAGGCCTAAGGATTTGCCTTCTCATGCCTAATACAGAAAATTCAGATAGGGGTGTGTGTGTGTGTGTGTGTGTGTGTGTGTGTGTGTATGCACATGGAGGGCAGGAATAAAGATAGAGATAAATTGCTCCTTTTAGTCTTCCTTTTTTATTTTTCATTTCTTGAAAGAAAGAGGCACCATCTGGCTCATGCATAAGTGGCATGCAAATGATTTACAAAGGTGAACTGCCAAATTTCCTGTTACACATTTAGATAGAGAAAACAAACATCACTAAATCAAAGCCCCAGAGCAATTTATCCTCTCTTCTTAAGAAGGTCCCCAATGGCAGACACCTCTTCTTCCTGTGGATCTCTAACTCTGTGCTTCTAAGATTTCCTTTTAAATTGGGCTCTATGAGGGTGAGTTCTGGGTACTGTTAAACCTTCTTCAGAACATCAACGAACACCAAGAGACTTGGTGATCAGATCTAGAATAAAGAAAAGTCATCTTTCCTGAGGGGAAGGATGTTGGAATTCAGAATAAAAAAATGTCTTCAGATGTTCTAATGGAGGGGGAGGCGATATACTGAGATCTTGGAGGAATGAGATTAGAGGGGATGGGCACTGTGACCGTACAGATCCACAGTGCCAGCAGTTAATTTTTCTGTTAGCCCTTCTGTCCTGTGTGCTTAGCACAGTGCTTGGCACTTGGGTAGACATCCAAGAAAAATATCAGTGACTGAAGTCAGGATATGAATTTGGAGTAACACAGGAAGTCAGCAGGCCAGACCAAGAGGAGAGAGGGGAGGTGATCAGAAACCACAAAAGAGACCTGAGCCTTGGGAGAAGATGAGGGGATTCAGTAGCCGGCTGCAGGTGCGAGTCTTGTCTAAGGAAGCAGAGGGAGTACCTGAGGGGAGTGTCCAGAGGAGACAGAGAGTGTGGTATGAGTCAGGGATGTCCACAGAAGGTCTAAAGGAGATGGAGCCAAGTATCCAGGAGGTAAAGAGGGAAGGCATGTCCAAATCCAGGGAAACACATGTGTAGGGCCATAAGGCAGACCTGGAAGTCGGTGTCATAGCTCTAGGTTCTAAGCTGGAGAATCTAGCAGGTTCTGGAAAGGATGGTAATAGTAATCCTTCAGGTGTGGGAATAATTTAGAACAGGCCTATCTGGCTGGTAGAATACTTGATTTTGTAGGTATCATCATGCTCAACAGTGGTCAAGATGGCAGGCAACTTGGATCCACATTGCCTGGATTTGAATTTCTGCTCCTATAATTCCTATTGAATG